TAATTTAAAATTTTTATTCCTTATTCCATTTTCATTTTTTTACTTGCATTTTCAAATCCTTTTTTAAAAAGCATTTTCTTTTTGCATTACCCATCCTGCTAACCTTTTCAGGACCTAAACATGAGAGTAGCTTTACTGTTCTCTTAAAATGTATTTTTCCAGTTAATTTATTTCAAATTTGATATTTCAAATGTATTTATTTTTTTTCTCTTTTTTTTTAAATTGTGTTTTTCACTTCCTCCTCTCATCTGAGGGCGGGCTTTCCTCTGGAGTGTGGAGCAAACATGCATTTCTATTGGTCTGCTGAATATTAGCAACATTTTTATTGGTCAAAAAGCCGCGTTAGAATTGGGGCTTGAATAGAAGACAATATGATTTGTAAAACGCAGTTTTAAAAGAATGAACTTAGAAAAACTCATTCTGAAAAACTGAAATTTGGAGAAAAAAAAAAGGAATATGTAATAACAAACTGTAAGAATAACACATTTTTCAAACTGACAATAACATATCATGTTTTCTTGCATCAGTAATGGAAAAAAATGACTTTATACACTTATTTCTGAGAATTTTTGAGTAGATCCAAGACTGTAAGACTTGGTTACATATATACACTTTTTGCAGTATCCCAGTCAGTGGTGTGTTTACTTCTCCCAAGCAGAAGCCTTATTTAACCAACAGATAATCATTTATATGGTAAAGGGGCCTGATTGTGGTATAATCGCTTGTTTCAGCTGCTTGTTCAGATTTCCCTTTTCTATCAAGCAGTATGCATAAAGCAGCAGCCCTATAAAGTCATACATTAATTTACCCACAGGCCATATTATGGATAATTAGGAGCATGCATGATAAAGTCACCCTGCTGTTCTCCACAGATCTTTCCAAGCATCCACATCCTAGTGGATCTTTTTATATATCTGAGTGGATTTTATTTCCAGTGGGAATCTTGCTTTACTAGAAGCAGGTTGAGCAGCACAGCTTCAGACAGGCCATTACCTGTCTGCATAGGAGCGTAGAACTGTGATTCCCAACACAAAGTACATCATGACTGAACACAGGATCATTCCCAGTCCTAGAAATATGGCTCGATCTTCCCCAGGCTTTAGAGCCGTCACCGTTTTCTTCTTGGCCAATACGTCCACATCACGAAATTTCTGGTAAATCGACCTGAAGACAGAATGTCAAACCGCATCAATCTTTGCATCTTTAATTAAATCAATTTTATTTTTAACATCTTTGTAGTTAAAGTTTCTATTTTTATGCTCCGAGATGCTAAAAATATCAGTTACCTGGTCTCGGCCCCTCTTCCTGCTCCTGCAGCATTCCTGGCCCCTGCTACAAAAAACATCTTCCCCGGTGACCTCGGTGCTCTTGTGCTCGCTGAAGCGGAGCGGAAAATGCTGTGAAAATTACAGCTTTTTATGAGCAGCTGTTATGATAAATACTGACTTTTACAACCCAGCCTACAAAATAAGCCAAGGGAATGTCAAATAAGAATTTACCTCTGATGCATTTTTCCTGTGTAACACTATTTTATGACTCGATGGGCCCAGTTCAGTAGAGAATAAAGCTGTTTCTACCAACCCTGCACACAGTCGTTCATTATGATGTACTGGCATAGAATGCGCTCCTCATACAGCCGACTCTACGTAAACATCTCATTTTGAGCATAAAGAAATGCTTTAAAAGGCAAACAAAATGATGGATCGCTACAGATGAAAGGTGTTCATGCTGATGGGTGTGCGGTACACACCATGCCACCAAAGAGCACAGTGAGTACCTGTAGCTCTAATTGACTGATCACAAGGGATGTTAATCACACCTGTGATGCTAATTAATGGACACGCCTTGATTTAACATGTTCCTTTGATCATATTACACTGCAAAAATAATCTAGAAATAAGTAAATAAGTGTTTTTACCCTTAATTTTAGTAGGTAAATAAGATGATTTGCCAAATTAATGAGTATTTTTACTCTTAAAATAAAATTATTAGATAATATGGGCTTGTAATAAGACAATGTAGTTGTTTTTTCTTATTTTAAATGTAAATTGTGTTGTTCCATTGGCAAAGGGTCTCACTTACCTCCTACATCATAGACAAATTACTTATTTACAGAGATGGCAAAAGTACTCACTTTCCGTACTTGAGTAAAAGTACAGATACTT